GTAGGGCTTTGTGTAAATATGAATATAATTTGGCCTGTTGGTCTAATGTAGAGACACATAAATGACCTCCAGACTTTTAGGAAGAGTGATAGGATATTACTTAAGGGTTAGAGTGGGTATAGAAGAACTAGTTAAATTGGCCTATGTAGTTTCTTAGAAAAAAAAAGAAAATAAAAACTCACAACAGAATATGTATGCCTTCACTTTTTTTAAACCATTGGTCTGAATAATAAAGTGAGGTCATGCAATATAAAACATGGACATTATCAGGAACACTGTGTGGATGACCATTGCTAAATCAATTATGCTTTGCCCCACATCCATCACCGAGACAGCCAAATAAATGGCTGGGCTATATTACAGTCTGCTAATTTTCCACATAAAACTTCAGTTGGACAACTGCAATTTCCCTGTCATAGAATTTCTATGCTGTGCTTTAAATTGTGTTCTGCTCCATTTTCTGTGGTTCCTTAATTATGTGTCTAGCTTAGGACTTCACATATTGTGGGTGTCTCCGAAAGTTTGACTGAATATCTTCTTCACTAATTCATAGTATTCATCATTGCTCAGACCACTGTATAGTACCATGTACCTTCATTGAATCAGAGGTACAATTTTAATTCTGATTTAAAAAATTGCCTCCTAGATCAACAATAAGCCTGCTGTCCCTAAGAATCATTCAGATTCTGCCATCACCATTCAGTTACATATTTATGTATAAAGATATAAGAATAATTTGAAAGTAATCTACCTAAATATTAACCTCAGGAATTATGGTTTCAATGAAGACAGGGTGCCACATTTATGAAACCACTACCCCTGTTCATATGTGTGTGTGTGTTCATCCCCCTACACATGTAAGTGCACACGTAGAACGCTGCCAGGCACTGTGCTGTGTGCTTCACACATGACATGTTATTTGATTCTCTCAACCACTCTATGAGGTAGGGGCTATATGCATCCTCATTTTATAGGTGAGGAAACTAAGGTGTAGAAAAAAATTATTTTCCCAAGGTCTTACAGCCAGTAATTGGCCTAGCTGGAAATTGAGGCATGTCTGTTTTATGGCAAAGTCAGAAAGTCAGTGGAAAGATCTGTATATGGCCTACTCAGAAATCAATGATGGTGATCTACTTTGTTAGTTTTCTCTCCTGTAAAAGAGGAGAATTGGGCTCAAAGAGATCTGAGGGCCTATCAAATCCCTGATTTTATGATCATGATTATTTTCAAGGAGAGTGCAATAATATCTTGTGTTTTGTGAATCTCTGCTAGCCTTCCGGTTTATGTCCACTGATTCATTGATTTAAAACCAGTGGAGGCCGGGCTCGGTGGCTCACGCCTATAATCCCAGCACTTTGAGAGGCCGAGACAGGTGGATCACGAGGTCAAGAGATCAAGACCATCCTGGTCAACATGGTGAAACCCCGTCTCTACTAAAAATACAAAAATTAGCTGGGCATGGTGGTGCACGCTTGCAGTCCCAGCTACTCGGGACGCTGAGACAGGAGAATTGCTTGAACCCAGGAGACAGAGATTGTGGTGAGCCGAGATCGCGCCATTGCACTCCAGCCTGGGTAACAAGAACGAAACTCCGTCTCAAGAAAAAAAAGAATACAGTGGAAAAGTTTCCATATGACACTTTGTTAAATTTAGGCAGTAGCTCTCCTCTCATCATTAAAGCCAAAGTTGATGAGGATTTAAATTATTGTGCAATTTAATTTTTTTGAAACAGAAAATACTTATATCAAAAATTTTAAATGAGCATACCTTTATTTATAGGATCATATGTTCTTTAAAAGCCAAAGCTATATCCTGTTGAACTACATTTTTCCCCCAATGTTTTGCAGATAATAGATGTTTAATAAATGTTTGTTAAATCAAATTAACATAACAAAATAGTTTTTAAATACCGGTTTACATAAAGTGCTGTGATTAATGATGGATTTCTAGAGGCCAGGCATGGTGGCTTACACTTGTAATCCCAGCACTTTGGGAGGCTGAGGCAGGTGGATTACAAGGTTAGGAGTTTGAGATCAGCCAGAGCAACATGGCAAAATCCCGTCTCTGCTTAAAATACAAAAATTAGCCTGGCGTGGTGACACATGGCTGTAATCCTAGCTACTCAGGAGGCTGAGGCAGGAGAATTGCTTGAACCTGGTAGGCAGAGGTTGCAGTGAGCCGAGATCACCCCATTGCACTCCAGCCTGGAAGACAGAGCAAGGCTCGGTCTTACACACATAAAAAGATAGATTTCTAACATCTAACATCAGTAACTTCTGATACTTCACAATTTAAGCTCTGTTTCTCATTTATTGTGTTTGTTTAAGAATTACTTTATTGAGAGTGATGAAAGGTAAATAAAAGTTGTCTTGCTTGTAATCCTTAATATGAGACTAACATTTTAGAAACAAGCACACGTAAATATGTTAACAATCTGTTTTCTTTAAGGCTCTAGTCCAGTAACCACAAGACGAGGTAGGGATTTAGAAGTCAAAGGGGGAGTAGAGAGAGAGAGCTGTGCATTTCTTAGGGATGAAATGGGTCCTTGAAAATGGTCAGGAAATTAGATTCTAGATTACTTTATTGATTTAATTTGTATAGTAGAAAATTCATTTTGGGGGAATATTAAGGACAGACATTATCGTGCAGTTTTGTGGAGTCTGTAAGCGATACACATGAAGGGACACTTAGAGACCGTGAGAAGTGAGTCACATCCTTAAAGTGCCAGTTACTTAGCAGCAGAATAAAGATGAAAAGAATTCAAACACCTTTATTTCTAACTCTCTTATCTTCCCAATGCCCTGCACTCATAGATTAATTAATTCATTCATTTATTCAAAAGCCATTTTCCTGTGCATGTACCACATTCTAAGCAGTTTAGTAGATACTAGAGACACATGAGTGAATTAAACAAACATGGCTTCTGCCCTTGTACAGTTTGCAAACTTTTGGCTTCTCTTCAGTAAATGAGTATCATTAAATTACAGAATTTAGTGTGGGCATACTTGTTTTGATGACGAAGAAGATTTAGATGAAAATTAATATGATTTTCTTGTATATATTTTCACAAGTCGATGACCAGGTTGATTAATGAGTGTTTATAGAGCAGATTCATTTTTCTGTTACTTATTTTTTAGTTTGATGAATGATAAACAGATTGCCATGAAGTTTCTGAAAATCTAGTGATGGGAACAGAGAAACCTCTTGGAGAAATGGGCACAGTGTTGTAAAGGAGTGATTTGTAACTTTTCCCACAATATGGAGAATCTTGAGTTATGACTCAGGGATAAGATTCAATCATCAATCTTTAACTGAGTATTTTCTTCCTCCATCACCAAACCTTGTAGTTTCAAGAGAGTGGTTTTTTCCTTAAAGTGAATCTTAGTAATGCTATAAGTTTTTTTTTTTTTTTTAACTATCAAGATAGATGTTAAATACTCCTTACCAATTATTTTAACATCTTGTGTTTCTTCCATCTCTACCCAGACCAGATGTTTAGACTCCTGCTTATTTATAATGAAGATAGCTAATAAATTAAGTCTTTCAAGAATGTTTAAAGAGTTAGTGCTTTCCCTAAATATGTTTTAATTTCAAAATAGGAGTAAAGGTTAAAAACAAAAACAAAAACCTTTAACCTTTAGCTTAAAGGCTAAAACCCAAAGAAACAAAAAGAAAACCTGCTAAACTCCAAATGGTCAGATCCTGCTAGTTATAGTAAGGGATGAATTTGTGGAGCAGGATAAGTTTAAAATTACCATTTGTGTATAGAGTTGGCCTTCCGTATCAAAATGTATTTCTGTGGGGTAGAGACTGCTTTTGCCTACTTCCTTACTCTGCAGTGTACACAAGTATAAAAAAGGTACTCTTCAGACTATTAATAATATTAATTGTGTGATATAATTATTTAATAAATCACAAATGAAGAGACAAAAATAGCACCTATTTGGCATTATGTTTAATTAGAATTTTGACATTAAAAAGTTGTAGATACTCTTTCCATTTGAGACATTATATTATTTTCAAAACAAAATATTAGCCGCTGATAAAATCTGTGAAAACTGTAGTTAGGCTAGCTTTGGCAAATTGGTGTTTATTGGATAATTGATAAATGCTTTGCTCATTAATCGGTCTTTGTTTAGCTGAAGGCAGTAATTTTCTAATATAAACACATCAGAAAAAGACATATTATTTAATCCTTTTGGGTTATTTTCTTCCTTCTGGGTCTTTACTGATACTTTCTTTTTCCTGTGTTCCCCTCTGTTTAATTTAACCTTGATTATACAAGCCCTAACAACTGGGATAAAATATGGCCAATATGAAAAGTACTCAGAGGCAGAAATAATTAAAGGTGTGCATTACAAATAAAATCAAAAGGAATTAAGTTTATTTTTATCTCAGAAAAGTGAGGGCTGAAAGTGGATTAAAACTAATATTCAATTAAGTGGTATGTATATGTGCATGTATGTATTTAGGAGGGGTTGTGCGTGATTACCCAATCTACAGAACAAGAAAATGAAGACAAAGTATTACTAAAGCAAATGTTACTAGTAATTAGAAAGTATTCTCGTCTTTGGGGGATTCGAGAACATCTTTTCTTTCTAAGTTCTGCCGAATGTCATTTTCTTGTGAGAATATGTTGGAGATTAATGAGAGCAGAGAGTAAGCAGCCGATAAGGAGAGCAAATGAGAGTTAAGAGAAGACAGAAACAAGTTGGTTTCACCAGAGTCTGTAACTGACAGAGAGCTGTTAATGCATTAAAATCACTGAGAATATTATGTAGAGAAGGTAAAAGCAATCAAGATACCCTGTGTTTTAAGCTGGTAAGCACACTGTTTAATAACTATCTGGTTTTGTATACATTCTACAAAAATCTTGATTATCGACTTTCATGTTTCTTATCCTAATACACTATTTTACACGCATGGCTCAAAATTGTCATTTTTATCTGTGCCCTGATTGGTTACACATACATAGAGTTTCCCTCAATATTTAACTGCCTTTCTACCTTATCCTCATGCATCCTCCAGTCGCCTGCTCCGAGGTTACCAACCCAGAATGCAGCAAGAGCCTCTGCAGCTGCTACAACTGGTAGAAGTGGGTTAGGCAGATGGTTGCTCAACAATGACCCATCAAGGACTATAGTTGTAGAAGGGAGAGGGGAGACAGGTATCATATTTCCTGCCTGAGATGTCTACTGAATGGCAGCAATTGCAGTGAATCCAGCTCACTGTCTCAACAGCCACTCACCTGCCCTGTCTCCTCCCCTGTCTCATAACTGGACCAGCAGTTAAACAGCTGTATAGCCTCGTCTCCCTGTCTCATTTTCCCCGGAGCTCCATCAGCAAAGAGTAGCAACAGCAACTGGAGAAGCGGCAGCCAGACATAGGCAGGGCTGGTTCTTGCAGCCGTGCAGATCGCCTCCTCCTCAACACACACACACACACAGACAGACACACACACACACACACACACACACACACTGCACAGACTTCCAATATCACAGCGTCTTGACATAAGGACTAAGACGAGAGAAGAGCGTTAGTCACGGACAACAGGTATTTCATCCCTGACAAATTGTTTCCTTCCGCTGCTTGTTGGTTTGGCTGATAAAATAATCATTTGTGATCGCTAGCTTGAGTGGGAGACTGGAGGACTGGAGGTGGCCGCGACAGAGGAGCGGGGATGAAGTGGGAGGAGTGAGAGGTGGGGAATGGGGATGCTAAAGATGACTTTCGGGCTCCAGAAACCTACGTCTTTCAGCCTCCGCTGTTTTTGAGTTGCAAATGATCAGAGATGGGTGAACTGCAGGCAGCCTGTGGTGTTGCCTGGAAGTAGATTTCCATCTTTCAGACACTAGTTCCAATGGGCCGGGTGTTCTGGAAGGGGGCGGCAGTGGGGAGGAGGATGCTGTGAGCAGAGTTCTTGAAGCTCCTCTCCTCTGGGGAAGCCGAGCTGTGTGGGAGCCTTCTCACTGTGCGGGGAGCGTGTGAATTGGAAAGGATCCTGAGAGCTGGCTGGTCCCAGTTCCTCTCCGGAAAAGCAGTGGCTCTCGCTTCAGAGATGCGCCCAGCTTTCGCCTGCATCGCACTGCAGTAAGTTAAACTGGACATGGTTGGCAAATGGAGTGGCTTCTGGGTACGTGGCACGGGGGAAGGGAAGCTGAGAAGAAATGGGGAGGAAAGTTAGAAAAGCGTAGCTTTGAATTCTCCATGAAATGTTAAATCGGTTCGTCTCCCTGACTCCTGTCCTAGTTATGCGATTGTAGGGGTGCTCTGTGATTTGCTGGCGGATGCCGCTTGTGCATTAGCTATGCAGAAAGTGCCCTGTCCATTGCGATTTTAGGCAACACAACTGGTGAATGTTTTACTATTTAATTCCAAGAGTGGTCTCCTGAAAGTTACCAATGAGATAGCAGCTTATCTTTTCAAAAGGAAATTCATAAAGAGGTTGGTTTAGACTTTCAAATGCCCTAGTTAATTGTTACAAGTTCCAGCCCAGATTTATTCTTAATCCGTGAACTAAGCAAGCAAGCAAACAGAAGTCTTTGATTTACCTTATTAAAATAAAATATGAAGTGGGTCTCTAGATAACTGCTAGGAAACAGCCTAAGCCACACTGATGATGTGATAAACATTCAAATAGTCTTTAGTGGGTGCTACATGGAGGGTTCCCTTAGTTTCCTCCTGCTAGGATAATCGCCTCTACTCACTGAACAGTCTCTTTATTGTGATTTTAAAGTGGTGATTTTTACATAAACGGCTCTATAATTAGAAACCAAGCGGCATTGTGTTCCCTGGCGGAAAAGGAAGGCTTAAAACTTTTAAAAAAACAACTTCAACTGGTTGCTCAAATTGCAGATAACCAGCTCCTTTAAAAACAGGTCAGCAAGGGCCAGTCCATTGTAAAGCAAATGACCAAAGAAACATGAATGCCAGCAGAATACTGAAGGTCTTTTCTAGAATAGGAATCAGAAATAGTTAGTCTAAAAATGTTGGGGTACCTAACCAGGTCCTCTGGCCTTGACCAGATTTTTATAGTTGGGGGTTGGAGAGAAAAATTCCTTCAAGCAGAAAGAATACATTACACAAAAATGTTAGACTTAGTTGGAGGATCATTGGAGAAAATGCCATGTTAGTACATTTTTCTCCAAGAAAGATTATTGACAAAACAGAAATTACCTAAAAGAGAACCTAGGATTTTAAGCTGGATACTTCCATAGGCTAGCATAAATTCCATAGGATAAGAAGGCTTCAGAATTTATGAAATAACTATTGTGAAAAGCAAAGTAATTCTAAAATCCTCTGTCTTTAGTAGAGAGGTAACCAAGGACTACTCTTATGCTATAATTTCAGTTTTAAATTGTGCTACTCTTTCTCTAATCCACCAAATCTTCGTGCTTTTACCAAAAATAAAATATGTCAAGAATGACATTAGAATTGTGTTGACTAATTTTCTACTCATCATGGGATCTCCAGATATAAAGGCTTACTTAATATTTTTTGGCATTAAGGGAGTTCCCAATTTGTTATAGGCGATCCATTCCACACACGTACATAGTATCCCTGTGCATAAAGTCTACATGTGACTTTGTGATTCACTGAGTAAAATGTAACTCGGGATATATTTGCTACAATAGTGCATACGTGAGGGTGATTAAAAATTTTTGACAGCAATGAGAAAAAGAAAAATCTCTATGAGGAATAGAAGAATATGATTGGAGCACATTCACAAGGAGTTCCTTGATACTCTACAGTAGACTGTCATTAGCTGAACTCTGTATGTAGTTAAAGAGAAGGAAAATTAGGCTAAGAGCACTGATAACAATTTGACAAAATTTCTTTAAATATAGAAAGTTCTGTAGTTGGAGTTGAGTGGTGGCAATGCCTTTGCTTCCTACTTTCTTGTCCTACTCGTAAGCAAAGCTCATGTTATGATAGGGAAGAAGATTGTCACAATCATTCGTGAAATAAAACAATTATTTAAATTGTTTTTTAAAATTTCAGTTAAAATCATTGGTAAGTTTGCTGGGATTGTGCCTGAACTAGTATCCTGTGAGTAGTATCCTATGATGCTTTTTCTTGCACACTATTGAAAGAAGGGAGAGTTGTAGCCATACAAGACAGACAAAGATAGCTCCCGATCACTAAATCAAAATCTGCCTACTAATAACTGTGATGTGATGGAGAGGCTTGAAATGACACTTTGAGATGATCTTTTCCTGGATGCTTCTCCTGACTGCCTTCAGGAACAGAGCTGTATTTATATATGCACGATACTGTTGCAGTATTCTCTTAAGAGTAATACCTCCAGCCGAGGAGCACTTGCCCAGAGCAAACACCAGGAAAAATTCTGAAGAAGCCTATTCCTATTACCTCTCTCCGAGCAATAGCGTTTTCTCTCTCTTGTAAAACACTAACGCAAATTCTAACCAAGTGAGTTGCGTATGGTATGTCCCAATGCCACAGTCAATACCTTGGGTACTTACTATGAAGTAGGTTCAACTACTTGATAACCCTGGATTATTTTCTCATGTGCTTTGTTCATCACACAATGAATGATCAGTGGTGGTTATTCTGAGTACAGTAGTTGCAGGTACTGGGTCAAGAGCTTTAAATATGGCTTCTCATTTACGGTATAATAGCTGCAGGAGGGAGATGGCATTTTCTCCCCTTTAGGAAAACTCAGACTCAGAAGGAATAAACAAATTCCTGAAAGCAACAATATTTGGTGAATGCTGGGTTAGAGTTAACCGCTAGATGTGACTCACTCTAATTCTTAATTGCTTTGCTACTTAAAAAAAAAAAATTAAAATGGTACTCTACTATGGATCAGAGTGAGGGGTAAGCATATTATTTTGTGGATGCCATGCATGGGTAGTGCTTGAGAACTCTTCCTTTGCTCATGATACATAAGATAGGATCCACCTAAACTGGAATCTACCTACATTGACCCCAGATCCAAACTTGGCGTACTCACCATTCCAGTTTCAGGCTCTGCTTTGGCTGCACCGACTCTGGAAATGAACGTGAGGACGTTGCCAGGAAGGAAGATAATGCACTTAATATGGAGAAAAGTTGGAAGATCCAAACACAGAGGGGTATAAAAAGAAAGGAAAAGAATCATATAGTAGAAGGCTGGTCCAAAAATATGTCCACATTCTTTGTCCTGAGGGATACTAAATAACAAACTCTTTGGGCTGTGTGTGGGGTAGAGATCTTTAGTCACAGATGAAGTACAGACCCAAAACATCTCTTTAAATAGTTGTAAGGTCGTATTAGAAAAAGATTATGCTTGTCATCAGATAATCTCTTTTACATATTCTTTTTAAAAGTGGAAAAACAATGATTCAAAGAAAAGTTGGGGAGAAAGGCCAGATGCTGGCCGAAGAGGTAAAAAAGTAATTGGAAATATCACTGGTTCTTGCTTAATCATTTTCTGAAAATTTGCCAGGAAGTGAAAGGCCATCTTTAACTGGTTAGGATAAAAACAAAATGGTTCATTTAGGTAGAACGTGAAGTGTTACAGAGACTAACATGATTACTCTCACTTGTCTTCTTATCACAGAAGACAAACACTAACAAGGAATAAAATGAAAATGTTACAGGCATAGAGCCAAACAATATTTTAAGATTGGTCTTTCTCAGCATGCTAAATTTAAACAGCCGGAATTCTTTTTTAAGGATTTTCTGAGTCAACAATTTGAAATGAAGGATTTGTCTTTTAACAGGGAGTTTGTATTGCATTGTAAATTTGAAACACAATGTCCTCAACTCAGTAACTTTTGATTGGCAATGTGCCAATCACTATAGATGCAAGGAACACAAAAGCCGTTACCTTCAAAACCAGAGAATAAGTGGACACGCTCCATAAGCGAATTTGATGTTCTGAGCTGTTGTCAGATGCGTATGTGGTGACAAAGTTTTGCAAATACTTTCACATTGTTGGCCCTGACTCATTCTCTTGTCATTTGCAACACTTCAGGTTAGGGCTGGGAAGAGTTAGTTTTCAGGATTGATTTTTGAATGTGGTGCTAAAATCGACTTCCTTGCCCATTGGTTCTCTTTACCTTCTAGTTTAAAAATAATGATAGTAACTTTTATTGAGTGCTTACTACATGGCAGTTGCCTTTATAGCTATTTTGAATATTTAATCTTGATCATACCCTTATGGGATAATTTTTTTATTCTCCTCATTCTCATTTTATAAAAGAGCAAACTGAAGGAAGACAGGGTTAACTAACTTGACATAGTTACAAACTAGTAGGAATGGAGCTGAAGTTTGAACCCAGTAGTCTAGCTCTAGAGAGACCATTCTTTTAATCAAAAGGCTCTAAATCAGCTATTAACTGCTGCTGGCTTATTATAACCTTCCACAGTTCATGCAATGTTGCACCTTCCTTTTCTCTGCTTACATTTGCCTCTCAGTAATTTACTTTTGGACACCCAAACTCCTCTGCCGTCTCTCCACACTAATGTGTTTCGATAATGTGTCATTGTCTCTTAAGCTTCTACTCCAGTATCAAGACACTTTGAGGTATCTATTTGTATTCTACCAC